CGTCTTGATTCTCCTGAGCTGATATCTGCATTAAACTCAATTGAGTTGTTAGATCACTTGTCAATCTCAAAGTAGATAACTCAACTTTCTTTCTACTCAAGGCATCTGCAACCACATTAGCTTTGCCGGGATGATAGGCAATATCCACATCATAATCTGCCACTAATTCCATCCACCTGCGTTGTCTCAAATTTAGTTCCTTTTGAGAGAACACATACTTGAGACTTTTATGGTCAGTGTATACTTGAACTTTTTCCCCGTACAAGTAAGATCTCCAAATCTTCAATGCAAAAATCACAGCTGCAAGTTCTAAATCGTGAGTAGGGTAGTTTTCTTCATGTTTTCGAAGTTGGCGTGATGCATACGCAATAACGCGGTCTTCTTGCATCAACACGCATCCTAACCCTTGGTGAGAGGCATCACTATACACCACAAACTGTTTTCCGGGCTTTGGTAATGCCAAAATAGGAGCTGATGTCAATCGCTTCTTCAACTCTTCAAAACTTGTCTCGCATTTTTCGTCCCATTCAAACTTCACACCCTTTCCCGTCAATCTCGTCAATGGCTTAGATAGGTTGGCAAAACCCTTTACAAACTTTCTGTAATACCCAGCCAACCCGAGGAAACTTCGAATCTCTGTAGCATTAGACGGTCTCACCCAATCAACTATAGTCGACACTTTGGATGGATCTACTTTCACTCCTTCCGCAGATACCACATGCCCCAAAAATCCTACCTCATGCATCCAAAAGTCACACTTACTCAGCTTTGCATATAACTTTTCTCTCCTTAAGCGTTTCAACACCTTCTCTAAATGTATCATATGATCCTCACGAGATTTGGAATACACAAGGATGTCATCAATGAAGATGATAACAAACTCGTCCAAATAATCCCTGAATGTTGTGTTCATCAACTCCATAAAAACTGCAGGTGCATTGGTAAGTCCAAACGGCATGACAACAAATTCAAAGTGTCCATACCTTGTTCTGAAAGCAGTTTTCTTTATATCATCATCTAGAACACGTACCTGGTGGTAACCTGATCGTAAATCAATCTTCGAAAACCAACTAGCACCTTGAAGTTGGTCCAATAGCTCATCAATTCTTGGAAGTGGATATTTGTTCTTTATTGTTACCTGATTCAATCCTCGATAATCGATGCATAATCTCATACTCCCATCTTTCTTCTTAACAAATAGTACAGGAGCACCCCAAGGAGAAGTACTAGGTCTTATAAAACCTTTTCCAATCAACCCCACCAACTGTTTCTTTAACTCAGTCATTTCTGAAGCAGCCATACGATAAGGGGCTCTAGAGATAGGTTCAACTCCCTGTTTCAACTCAATAGGAAAAGATATCTCTCTTAGAGGAGGTATTCCCTGTAGATCTTCCGGAAAGACATCAGGAAAATCATTAACAACCGGTATATCCTCTAGTTTACTTGATGTTTCCGGTCCGTTTAATTCTATTACCGCCAAATATGCCTCACTTCCTTGTTGAATTAGCCGGTTTACCCGCACTGCTGAAATAAAAGGCAAACTTGAAGTCTTTCTTGCACCCTCAAACTCTAGTACCAAGGATCCCTCTTGTTCAAAACGAACTCTACCTCTCTTACAATCAAGATGAGCTCGATGACTTGATAACCAATCCATACCCAAAATCACATCATATCCCTTGATTGGTACCACTATCAGATCAACATGTAAGTCATGTATACCAATCAAGACCGATACATCACGAATCATTCCTTCCGATTCCATTTCCTCTCCACCAGATGTATGGACCAATATTCTACCACTATTAATATCAGGTGCAATCTTCATGCGATTTACGTGTGTGGGCGAAACAAAACTATGTGTCGCCCCTGTATCAAAAAGGGTATGAGCTTGTTCACCTCCAATACTCAACATACCTAAGAAGAGAAATGATATGACCAGTGAATTACACCTATAACTAATTAACCACACCTACATTCGAAATTTTTTTTAATTAGCCATATTTATCACGATTTCCTATTATATTTAAATGAAATATCAACATACCTATGATTGTTGTCGTTTCTTCTTCCTCTTGCACTTCAGTTCGTAGAGCATAGACCCTAGGCTTCACCGCTGGTCTCTTAGCAGCTGGTTGTTGATGAACTGGTCTTTGTTCAATCCTCTTAGGTGCTTCTCTTTTTAACTCGGGACAATCGCTCTTATAATATCCCGCCCTTCCACAGTGGAAACAAGTAATCTGGAGCAATCTACACTCGCCAAAGTGACGTCTCCCACATTGTGAGCACATCGGGATACCGGATGTATAAGGTTGCACAACCGCCTTACCCTTACTCTTGTCATCTTGGGCTATACGCCTATGACTGGGGTTAGTCGACCTCTTAGTAGATGCTTCGATTTCACGTTCTGTTCTCTCAGCTCGATCAGCCATATCAACTATTTCTGACATCGAGTTAATTTTCAAAAGTTCCACATATAGATAAACAATCTCAAATTAGCAAGGTAACATTATCTCAATGAGATATATGTGGTTGTTCGAAACCTACCTTTGCCTTGAGAGATGGACGAAGTCCTCTTACGAACTTCTTAACCCTTAAGGTCTCTGTTTGCAGCATCTCACCTCCATATCTAGCCAATGAATTGAATTCCCTCTCATATTCTTTCACTGAACGATTTCCTTGTTGAAGGCTAATAAGCTTCATCGCCATCTCCTCTTGTACTCCAGGTGAGTAATATTTCTCTCGAAATGCATGGACGAATTGTCCCCAAGTGAACTGATAGTTTGTCCCAAATGGTTGGGCAACTCCTTTCCACCAGTGTCTCGCCTCTCCATCCAGATGGTAGATGGATATGTGTGCCCTAAAAAGATCAGGACACTGGATAAGATCAAATATCTGAGTCATCCTGTCCAACCAATCCTCGGCCACAGCTGGATCAGATGTACCACCAAATCTTGGAGCTGTACGACGCTCCACTCGATCAAGGAACTGAAAAAATTCCGCATTCATCACAGGTGGTGCAGGTGCAGGAGCTGCAACCGGTTGTACGGGAGGTGGAGGTGGTGGTACATAAGGCGGTGGTGGTGCAGGGACCGGTTGTGGAGCTGGTGCTGCTCCCTGTTGTCTCACAGTAGTGATGAGCTCCATCAGTAAATTCCTCATTTCTTGCATATGATCAGGCTG